ACCTTCCAAACACCTGAAGAATGCCGGAGTAACGGCCGAAACATTGTAATAAAGATGGCGACAAAGATGAGGAAAATAGTCCGAATAATGTAAATAGTGTACAACGTGATTTGGTTATTTAATGCCGACAAGATTTTTAGGATAGCCTCATATGAATAAAATATGTTTACTTTGAATAGAATCAGTTTGCAGATCAGGTTTTATTGACGTATTTTTGTAAAGAGGGGTTTTGCCGAGAGTTTGGATTGGTTAATTTTATTTTACTGTATATCAACCTCGATGTGTTATTTCATGCCCACAAGATTTTCAGGATAGGTTCGTATGAATATAACATGTATTCTTTGTAAGAAATCAATTTTTAGATCAGGTTGCATTGATATATTTCTGTAAAGAGGGTTTTTGTCGAGAGTCAAATCTGTTGCTGGTAATATATTTTTCTAAAAATATATTGCTGGTAATTTACAAAAAAATATATTGCTGGTATTTTTACTATAAAAATCTATTTTTATACTTACATAGTGTTTGAACTTCTCCTTTAGTCAAACTGGCAGTCTGGGGTCTCTCCTCGTCTTGCTAAAAACAAAGCCCGATCTTGATTGACCAAAGCCGGATACGCCTTTAGTTTGTCGTACACGCGTTCTAACTCCCGGCAATAGAGCTTAGTGTTGATAGCGCGTCCGTTTGGAACAAGCCCGAATTGCAGTACTCTCTGGAAATTCCACCAGACAGAAATCATTTGTTGTTTTCTGTCCCTTTCCTCAGTGAATCAAGACTTTCCGGCCAAACTAGTAATGTAATGATTTACATACTTATTTCAGGAAAACTCTTTATTATTTTCTCGTTTTAAATTTAATGACTAATTTTTCCTTATTAAAATATAAAGTGCAACCCAAGTTTTAGTTATTATACAAGTGGCCCCTAAAGTAAAAAAAAACAAAAACGGACCCAACATCAAAAAGACAAAAAACAAAAAAGCTGTAAGAAACACTGTCACGGACTTCTTGATGGGCAAGGCAAGAAAGACCTGACAAACGTGCTATTTAAATATATAACTAATTGTCAGGGGTGGGTGGATTTCATATAGGCAGTCGTGCGAAAGAGTTTAGCCCGGTTTTCAGGGTTTTTCCAAGTTGTTAGGTTGGCTAGAAAGTCCTAACTAACTTAGGAAGCGGAAAGAAAACAACAAAATTTTATGCTGCAACACCAACATTTATTCTTCAAAATTCTCGACGATCTCCTGATCAGCGATCAGCCATCATCCGAATACGTCCCAGATACCAGCCCGCTGGTTTTGAATCCAAAAACTATATACAAGCTTCCTTCAATTCATCAAGAGTGTTGAATCGCTGATCTCGGAGGAAGTTTGCCATGGAGCGGAATAGGCCATAGTCACTTGGAGCAGCATCGGGACTGGACGGTGGATGTGGAAGATACTCAACACCGTCCATCTGTTTGAACTTCTCCTTAGTCAACTGTGGCCTCACACTGTCTTCCTTTACTTCATCAAAAGGTTTGAATCGCTGATCGCAGAGGATGTGTACCATTGGGCGGAATAGGCCATAGACACTTGGAGCAGCATCGGGACTGAATGGTGGATGTGGAAGAATCTCAACACTGTCTATCTGTTTGAACGTCTCCTTAGTCAACTGTGGCCTCACACTGTCTTCCTTTACTTCATCAAAAGGTTTGAATCGCTGATCGCAGAAGATGTGTGCCATTGGGCGGAATAGGCCATAGACACTTGGAGTAGCATCGGGACTAAACGGTGGATATGGAAGATACTCAACACCGTCCATCTGTTTGAACTTCTCCTTTAGTCAACCTGGCAGTATTGTGGCCTCGCGCTGTCTTGCTGAAACAAAGCCCGATCTTGATTGATTAAAATATGGTACTCCTTCTTTAGTCTGTCGTACACACGGTCTAACTGCTGGCAATATAGTTTAGCGTTGATTGCGCGGCCGTGTGGAACAATCGCGAAATGCAGTCCTCCTTGGAAAGATGTGTTCTTTTCTTTCGGTTTCCTAAGAGAGTCAGGACATTTTGGTCAACATAGTAAGGCGTATAGCGGTTGATAAATGTACGGTTTTACTATTTGACTTTTCTAATGAATTAAGTTAAATAACGTCGTTACGAGTTCTACAACTCTAAAATACCAGCGCAAAATTTCCTATTTTAACGTAAATGGCAATCACATGCATTCAAAACAGGTTATTATTTAAAAGAAGTAAGGGGGTACAAATGAAAAGATTTAACATTGACAAATTCTTTTTTTTTTCTCTATTTCACTGATGTAGAACTTAGACACGTATAAAGGTTATCTCTTGCATTTACTCCTTCCTTTTTCGAACTGAAACAAAACAACGTCTCTGATATGTATTTCCCTTTTTACCCCTCGCCTTAGAAAGGAAAGGTCCATTATTTATGAGGAATTGGCAAAGCATACTTCTTAAAACTGTTTTTGAGCTATTCTAGCACGGGCGATGTTAGCCTTGAATTGAACCGAGTGCACAGGATCGAAATTGATGGCGTACCTTGACGTCCAAAGTAGTAGTGACGTTTGTGGTCAACTGACGCAACAGCATCAATGAGGCCCGTGAACAAAGAACGGCAGTAGTAGAAGAACCCAAACATTCAAGCTAGTTTCCCTTTTCACATTGGGAACGTCTTTGCCGGACGCTGCCGTATTGGACTCCGCAGTTACCTTCGATTTCACCGCTTCATGTAAATGTCATTTAATTTTTTTTTTTTTTTTGAGCGTTTCCCCCAAAGCAAGGCGGGAAGCCACTAGGACGCAAGGGGTTACAGAAAATTTGGAGCGAGAGCAGATAGGAGGAAAGGGTGAGGAGAAGGATAGTCGATAGATCAAGGCAACTGAAGATGTCGATTGACATTACATTTGAATAGTTGGAGATTATACCTCTCAGGGAAACTGGAATAGGGAAGGGAGTTCCACAGGCGAGAGGTGCGAGACACGAAACTTTTGGAGTAGAAGAGACGGCTACATTTAGGAGTTTCGACAGTAAAAGGGGGATGACAGTCTCGTAGGGCGCTTGAACTCATGAAGTCTGGGAACCAGCGAATGCAACTCCTCGGAGCAATTACCATGAAAGTATTTGTAAAAAAGATAGAGAGAGGCGACGGCGCGTCTGTGAGAGAGCGACTGTAGACGAGATGACAGATCAGGGCCAATTATTTTGCATATCCGCCTCTAGAGCTTATCAAGAACCCCGAGGCAAACAGAAGGGGCACCAGACCATATATGGCAGCAATACTCCATGCAAGGGCGAATTGTTGATTTGTAGATCTGGAGGATCGATTCCGGGGAGAAAAATTTCCTGGCGCAGCACAGAGAGCCAATTTTCCTTGCGGTGGACGAAGCAATTGACTCAATGTATTTGTTCCATCTCAGGTCAGCAGTCAACGTGAGACCGAGCAGCCGCAGAGAGGTGCTCTCGAGAAGTTGAGCGTCAGACATTCTAATGGAGGGCAGGGAAGGATCTCCGTGGTGATTAATAGAGAGCAGTTTTGTTTTCGAGGCGTTAAAGTTAACCAGCCAATTTCTACCCCAGTACACAACCGATTGGAGGTCCTTTTCGAGATGCACGGCCATGTTAGTTTTATCAGTGACACTAGATTTGTTTTTGAGGCAGGAATAAATTGTGGTGTCATCCGCATAGATGCCAACTTGGGAATTTATGGCGTCAGGAAGGTCATTTATGTAGATAAGGAATAGAGTGGGGCCTAGGATGGAGCCTTGAGGAACACCTGCGTTCGTCGAACTGAATTCATGAATGCTAATCATTAAGTGGGTAGAAATAAAAACATTTGAAATTCGCAACTTTTTTTCTATTTCACTGAAATTGCCGTTAAACATTTCTATCTCCTCTTATTTGTTTATTTCTTACATTCATTTATTGTCTCAGTGAAACCAAGTAGCGTCTCCGATATATGTTTTGTTTTTCGCATCAAGCTAATTTGAGAAGTGGGTACAAATGAAAAGATTTAAAACTGATAAGTTTTCCATTACACTGAAACAGCCGTTAAGCAATTCCATCTACTCTTTCTTTCTTTCTTTCTTTCTTTCTTTCTTTCTTTCTTTCTTCTATTAATTTTCTCAATGAAACCATGTAGCGTCTCTGATATATATTTTGTTTTTCGTTTGAAGCTATTTTGAGAACTTTGTATAAACGAAAAAATCTAAATTTGATAACTTTTTCCATTTCACTGAAGCAGCCGTTAAACAATTCTATTTTCCAGTCTTTCTTTCTTTCTTTTTTCCTTGCTTTCATTTCTCAGTGAAACCAAGTAGTGTCTCTGATATATGTTTTGTTTTTTGTAGCTATTTGAAGAAGTGGGTACAAACGAAAAGATTTAAAATTGCTAAATTTTCCATTGCACTGAAGCAGTCGTTAAACAATTCATTCTTTCTTTCTTTCTTTTATTCATTTTCTTAGTAGCGTCTCTGAATAAGTATTTTGCGTATTCCATC